GGGTGTTATCTATAAGAGAAAGCTGTTGACCAAGGTTAAGGGGAAATTTTTACTGTATAGCTTGATGTCGTGTGAAATTGAATGTTGGGTGATAAAATTTGGAGATAGTAAATTAAAAAATGACAATGTTGCATTGGATGAGTAGACAATGTTGCATAGCTTTAAGACTTGTGATGTTGTATGAAATTGAATGTTGGGTGGTAAAATGCGGAGACACTAAACTAAACGAAGACAATATTGCATTGGATAAGTGGACTAGTGACGAGATAATTAGGAATAAGCGCACCAGATAGAAAGTTAGGTTAACACCTATTCTACAAAAGATGGTAGAAGCTTGCATTATGTGATTTAAGCATCTGTGGAGGAGATTTGTGGAAGCTTTAGTAATTGGAGGGGGAAAATGACAGGCAAAACCATTAAAAAGGATGGAGAGGTCAATAGATTTCTACAGACATAATTTACAATAGGACATTATGGTGGTGTTTGATACATGTAGTTGACACTATCTGTTTGAAGATTTGTTTCTCTAAATCTGAATCAATGTCATTACTGAATCTAGAAGAAGGAAAAGCCTAACAAACCTCTCTCCACTCCGAGATGTTCAAGAGATCTGGTTTTCTATTACAAATTATATTCTAGAATCTTCTTAACCTGGCACTTTCTCTCCCCCTTCCATCTGATATATGTTGTTCCTTTCCCTGATCAATTAGGATCTCTAACTGTCTGTTTCTGACTCAGCTTTGTGCAACACTGAAACTGCCAAAGTTCTATTATCCTTTGTTCACCCATATCACTTCTGCTATACATCTTTTTAATTGGGGATCTGTTCAAACTGTGCAACTCTATTTCCTGACAATGATAGGCAATGAAGTTATTTTCTCCATGTGTTCTGAGAGTGGGCTTGAGGGAGTTATTAACAATTAAGTTGTCAGGGGAAGACATATGAATGATTTTATATTTTATTTCTAACATGTCCCTTCATGCAAGTGCCCATCGGGCTTGAAGTGTGTTGAAATTAAACATTTTCATTTGAAGAATGGGAGCAACGAGTTTTGAACTCTAGATCACTAGGTTGTGGAGGCCTTGATACCATGTCTTGAACCAACTATCCCATAAGCTTAAGCTGTCAGGGAAATATACATGAATAATTTAATGTTACATTTCTGCTAAAATGCTTCATTGTAAACTCTGGGGTATTTTTCGAAGGCAAGACGTGTGCAAGCTCGAAGAATATCTTAGGAAGCATTGTAGGGAATTCAGGCATCTCCATTGTTCTCAAGTGGATCAGGTAATTACATAATTTTTGAAAATAATGCTGGTCAGGTTTTCATTTTGAATAGTTTACTCTTAATCTATTTTTTTCAATTAAGTCTTTTTCTTAATATGCCTTTTGAATCAAGATATTCTTCTATACTAAAAGAAAAGAAAATTCTGTTCTACTCTGCTCTTGATTTTTTTAATTAGTAATTGACAATATCTCAAAATACTAATGCTTTGTTTAAATAAAAATTATATATTCAATTTTCTATGAGGAGGGGGAATTATCATCAAATATGATTCTTTCTTAATTTTGAGATTCAATTCAAGTGTTAGTTTTATTTGAATATTTTCATTGGAAACTGCACATTTGTTAGGAAATTGCATGTATAGTGTTTTTTCTTAGGAAATTGCATTTATGTTCACTTCTCTTAAATGTAACTAATATTGAGATCAATATATATTATGTTATATCTTCATCTTATAGAATAGGTTTTATCCTAGTCTTAAACTATCTTGATTGTTATTTCATTCCTTCATTTTATGGCATAGGTTTTTCACCCCATTCATTATCAACATAATACTCTTAACACAATAATAATTCAACATTTCAACTCTGTAAAAAGGTCAAGTAGTAAACTACAATAATAAAGTGTTTTAGCATATTAGTACTAAATAAGATTAAACTACATAGATGATCAAATTATATATAATTTTGTTAAAACATTAGTTCCTAAAGTGAAAATATTTCAAAAAAAAAATTAATTTCTTCAAATCATTTTAGTCATTGTAAAACACTAACACTATGGGGTCAATGGGGTAAAAATTGCATTTGATTTCAAATTCGCTTCTTAATTCGAGAGTTTATTACAGTTTACAATAGTTTAAAGAGTTTATCTGAGTTTACCAGGAAAAGAGTTTGTTTGAGTTAACTCCTTTTCTCTAATTAGGATCTTAAACTCATTGTTGTTATGAGTTTACTAGTTCACTTTAGGATTTGACAACCTTACATTGAACAGTCTGGGGTTGTGTATTTTTATTCATGTCGTTGAAATCAGGGGGCTTTTATTCTAATATTTTAGGAGCAAATGTTGAAGCTTGTAGGTAAAGAGTTAAACTAATTGAACTTTTCGATTCAATTCACTGAATTTCTGCTTTTGCTATGTAACTTGTGAAAGTATTGGGTTCGAGAGGTGTTTGCAGATGCTATCTGGTTTTCTGCCAGATTTTGAATTAATAACTGGAATTATAAAAATTTTAAAAAAAATTAGTTAGAGAAGTGGTGACTGGCGAGTAACTGTTATGAAAACGTAAGTATTGTGAATGTGAAGTCTAATTGTAGCATGTATACTAGGTCATTGGCCTCTAAAACAACGAATAGACCGTAGTACATGATGGAATTGTTGTTAAACATAATGGTGTATTTAGTATAATAGGGGTTTGTTGAGGTTATGATTTTATGTTGAAGGCCCTCCTTTTTAATTCATGTGCAGCCTTTTTAAGTCAGTAAAATATAATACAAGAATGAAATAGGAGCTATATGTTGATGTTCGGATTTTTGGAACATTATTACGAGGATCGATCAATTCATGCTGTAGAATACTACAGCAATGTAGCGAAAAAAACCTGCATGGTAGCACTAGTATCTTTCCAGCAAGGCTCTACTGAGTGGAAAAAATACTAATCAACTTTGTGATTTTTTGTTAAAGCTAAACGTGCTAACCTTTGATTTTCAGTTCTTCTGTAGAAGCAAAATAAATCATCAACATCAAACATATAATACTCGTTTCCTGTTAGATTTTATTATTTTATAAACAGCATAATAATAATGTGAATAGCGGAAAATAATGCCTTCGTTACATTTCATAAAAACCTCAATTCAATTTAGTTGGTACTACTTTGTTGTTATAATAATAGGAAGGGATGATCGAGTGTTTTTCTGATTTAATTTTATTTTCTAAAACAAGGGGAAATTTTCCAATATGAAACTATTTTTATGCGTCATGGTTGGTGCTCTAGAAATTATTGACATTGACCACTTCAAATTATACTGATATTGTGTCCGAAAAATACATAAATACGAGTATGAAAACTGGACATGTTCGTGTGATTTCATCAAGCCTTATGAATTATCTTCTTAATTTACCCATGCGATTATTGACTTAGTAACTTTTCTATATTTATGTTTTACTCTCTACCTATAACAGAATTATACGGACTAATAAGTAATTTAGCTGATTTTATTACTTTTATAAAACATAATACTAATTTTACCTTTCTTATTATTAAATTATATTGTACTTATTATTAAATATTTTTTTGGGTGAATATACTTATAAAATTATTATTAGAGTTGAAATTTTACACTACAAAATTTATGCACCAATACCAATAAAATTAATAAATGTAGATGGAATTTTACAAAGAGCTATTATTTTTCTAAAAATTGTCTTATAATAAAGACCGAATTGGAGTGCGGCAGACATTCTTTCAAGAGACATTTGGGTGGACAATTAATATCAGACATGGTATAAAAAATGCATTTTTACAAGTAAGTTATCATAAAACTATATACTTGAATAACACAACTAAACAACTTTTTTTATTAATAAAAACTTAGGATTCCGTTGCCGGGACTTGAACCCGGGTCTCTCGGGTGAGAGCCGAGTATCCCAACCAACTAGACTACAACGGACTTGCTGACTGTCATGCTTTTAAAATAATCTTTAGCAATTTTTTATTAGAACTGTTAAAAAAAAGTTTCATAATGCTGTCTATTTGAGACGAGCCAGAAACAAACAATATAGCCCAGTTATAAACTAAAACTATTTTTTTTATTTGTGAAAATGCAATAATTGATATATTGGCTTAATTGCATTGTTATTACTTTCATAATACAATTCTGTAATTTTGGTCTCTAGATTTTAAATGAACAATTTTAATTCCTTAAATATTGCATAATTGTTATATTAAAGAAATCAAAAACATTTAAATTTAATATATTTATATTATTTAATATTTATATTTATTAATTTCATAATTGGTATGTTTATATTATTTTAACGAGATTCTTATATTAATAATACTATTGCTAATTATACTAAACTGAATGTTATATTAATAACCCTACTGGAAATTACACATTATTTTGCTATTTACAAAAAGAAACGATGAAATTCTCCCCCACCCCCAATGTAAAAACCAGATGTAATTGTGCTAAAAATAAAAGGCCAGATAAAATAAGCACAAACCATATTGAAGACTGAACTCGTGAAAGTAAAAAATGATAAATGAAGCATTTTTATGGGAAGACTCAACATAAAGGAAAGTAAACAGAAAACATTCTTTTTTATCATCTTTTGGTTTCCTTCTTAACGTTTATTTTTTCTTCTAACATATTTTCTTATTAGCCGTCATTCATAACAATTTTCGTATAAAATCCTTCATACCAAAAATTTGTGATATGCCATAATCCAACAATAATACATAGCCAACAATTTTTGAGTAGTGAGGATCTATTGGAAAAAATACGTTAGTATATCTCTAAACCTTTGGGAATTTTTTATTTGATCCATAAATTAAAAAAATGTAATTGGACCCTGATCTTTTACAATTCTATGTAATTTGATCACTGAAATTAATAAAAACACCACAAATTGTTACTTTTGTGAAGGTTAAGTCACTATAATTTATTATTAACTCTTAAGAACTCATTTACAAGTAGAAAATATATAGAAGATTAAGAACCAATTATGAATATCAAGTTATAAAACTTAATTAGATTTTTTAAAAAAGTTTAGAGACTTGTATTAAAGAAAAAAAAAAGACTTTCTCAAACAAAAAAAAACATGGTAACTAAAAAATTAGTTAGCATTATTTAATTTTACAAAAGCAACCCATTTACCTAAACCCGTCATTAGAACTAAATAAATTAAATAAATAAATAAAAACAAGACTCATTAGAAATACAATATCAATTAAATTAGGAAATATTTTGAAAATGACATCATTAAGACCAACATTAACTTTTATTTTTACTTTACTTATTTGCTAGAAGAGGGAGTATTAGTACAAAGTTCAACACCAACAAAACAGTAATTTTTTATAGAGCATTGACGAATAATGCTCAACCCTGCACAAATTACAAACAGCAGAGTAGCATCTAAGAGACATTTCAGAATGGTTTCAATGAAAATATAAAAATACAACTCATCCAATTGAATTAAAAGTTCGACCACTTAGCTGGGAAAAAAGAAGTAATTGCATTGTAGAATACAAAGACAGCTCAAGCATAAACAGCCTCCTCTAGTTTCCTATTTAGAGTACATTAGTTCATGCAAAAGTTTAATCACATACTCTAAAATAGCTGTAACACTAACTCTAGCCTGCAGTGCCCCAAGTTCAAATTGGCACAGAAGCATGTCCTAAGTTTCTTTTTTTTTATATCATAAATGATTAAATGTATACTTTCTTCAATGCTGATAGAAATAATAAAGATGGCGAAAAGGGGTAACTGATCATACACAACATGTTCCAACCTTAGTAATAAACGTGTAGAAATACATGTTTCAATAATCTCAGTACTCAAGTGAGCCAATAGATGGTGGTCCAGAAACAATGTCCTGAGATTCAGCACCATTTAGCCTTTGTCCTGAACTTAGTGCAAGGGATTCTACTGCTTGTTCCCCCATTTTCTGAATGTCTTCAGGTGAAAGTATTTTGATATACCAAACATTATTGACAAATGATCTACAAGATGTAAAACACACCAATGAAGAAAATGTCAACAAACATGAACCGAGTGTAGCATGCTTTTTAATTAAAAAATGATTTAATACATTATTTGGTTCCTGAAATTTTTGGAAAATTTCAATTAGTCCCTAAACTAAAAATAATTGTACTTAAATCTGTCCTCTTTCTATATTTTTGTAATTTAGTTTTGGAGTAAGGAATTCATTTGCAATGCATGAAATTTCACAAAATATTATTTATATCTTCTTACTTGAACAACCACATTAAATTGGCATTCCATATTATCATTCATCACGTGCATCAAGTTTTAATCCCTACTGGCTAAAATTCCCTTATAACCTCCCTAATCATAAAATTTTGGAATAGTAAAGAATTTTTACAGGTTGAGATTAAAACATGATATATATAGATGATGATATGGAATACAAATCTGATATGGTTGTTCATAGATGATGACATAAAGAATATTTTGTGAAATTTCACAAATTGTAAATGATTGCTTAACCCTAAGGACTACATTACATAAATATAAAACATAAGGACTTAATTACAAAAAAAAAATTAGTTTAAAAACCTAATTTAAAGTTTGCTAAAAAATTCAGGGACCAAATGATATATTAAGCATTAAAAAATCAAGAATGGAATATTTCAATCACAAAGCAAGTTCATTGAGCAAAAAACTAGTAATAGTACTTACTCCCACGGATCGTCTCCAAGGAGAAGAACATCATTCTCCCTGTCAACGAACACAAGCTGCCAGCCTGATCTAAGAGGGTCTTCTAACTTCCCCTCAATTCCAAACATCTGACCCAACTCCTCGCGAAGTTCATGATAGCTGCTGAAC